AAACTTTCCACTGGATAAAAGGAAAAGATAAAAATGTTTATGAGATCACAGTAGACACCTCTGATTTCAGACCTTGATGGACTTAACACTATAGTGTTCTTTATGCACCACGGTCTTGAGATTAATTTTTATTGCTTTCTGTCTCCTTGCTGAAGTATGAAAGGAGAAGCTTATCAAAGGGGTATTTATCAGTCATAAGCCAATAAGGAAGTGAAATTTATTTTTCCAGTTTATTTTATTCGGGAAGGATGGGAAGTTCAGAATATAGTAGATTTGTTAAAAGAGATATGAACTTTTTGCCTTGTTATTTCCTGGAGGTGGAACTATGCTACTTTGAAGGATCCAATGCTGTTTTCGGTTAATGATGATTTAAAGAATACTGTCATTAAAAAAAAAAAAAAAAAAAAAAAAAAGAATACTGTCATGAAAAAATCTGTGCATCTTTTTAAAAACCATGTTTGTACAAAGCATAAAATTAAAATGTTTTAATGTGTCTTTGCCTTTTATGTCTGTGTGCATGATCATATTTAAAGTCTTAATTAAATCTGTCATCTATTGATAAATTAATAATTCTTGTGCTGTCAAGAGTATGCTAAGGTTCAAAGCTCCAAAAACTGAATTACTAACAGTGAATTATGAGCTCAAGTTCTGTTAACTGTTCTATTAAATGGCCTTGGTTATATCATATTTAACACATTTTTTCTGCATCAATAAATCAAACCATTTAACTATGAATAATTAATATAATTATTGATACACTGCCACTTTACACATGACCTCAATAGAATATCTCATTTGCCTTCACCAGGGGAGAAATCATTGAATTGTGTCTATAAAGATGAATAAAAGCTCAGCATACAGAGAAAGCACTGATAAACATTGTAGACAGAATCATGCTCCAAGAGGCACAGCCTTGTGACAGGGAATGGCATATTAGGAATTAAGTTCCACATGCAAGAATATTGAATGACTTTGTAACATTCAACTGATTGATGGGTTCTTGGCCTTCATGCCAGGCAAAAATCTTCCACAATGAATCAGAAACCCTATTCAGACACAATCTTAAATTCCTTGAGTCTCAATTCTCTATGTTCCAAGTGGAGGTGATCAAACTATGTATTATCAGTGTTTGTAGCCAACGATGATAATAAAGAAATACATATACAAACATAAGATTAAAATGTTTGAAGAATCAAGATAAAGGAGCAGTTTCTAACTTGGAATTACAGTTTAGGATTTAATGGAATTTAAATTAGTTATTATGGAATTTGTCAAACCAATTGTTTAGGTCTTCAGGGAGCTTCACTTTCAAATATGGGTCTGTAATTTGAGAGCTTTGACTCAATGCCAGATTGATAGCATATTTAATTTGTAGTAATTTCTAAATTCTTAATATTTTAAGATGATCAAATTCTCAGGTTTCTAAGATAATCTATTATAATACCATGATCTTCCAGCTGCTCTGAGGGCTGTATGTATAAGTTTGTAAGTCACATTAAATACTCCAATTTGAATTGTGTCCTGTATTTCTCTCCTCAAAAATAATTGTTTATTCTGACACAGATACCATATACTGTACTAAAAATAACAACCATTAGTTGAGTATTGCTTTATGCCAGTACTACTCTACATGCTTTTGGTGTATATTCTTGAAACCTTACAACGATGTTACAAGGCTTGTTTTTATTTTATGGATGAGGAAATTGAAACTCAGAGAAGGTAAGTAATTTGGCAAGGTCACAGAAAGAGGAAGATAATTTTTTTTCTTTCAAGTGTGTTTTGCCACAATGCCCATAACTTTATTTTGGTCCACCCTGCGGTGGCTCATAGTGAGGGTCTGAGAAGAAGCTTGAGAAACAGAGGGAAACGGTGATCCCACAACTTGTTCCAGACAATGCTAGGGTCAGAGGTCAAACCACAGGCCTTTGAAGGTGTGTGAACTGGGCTAATATTCAAAAGCCTTGGTTCTCTCTCTTGTTCTGTGTTTAGGCAGCTCTACAAGGGCACTGGCTGGGTGGTTCTATGCACTCCTTGCCGGTTTTGTGGCCCATTGAGCAGATTTCTCTGAGCTCTAACCCACTGCTATGGGTGCAGGTCCACTTCATCTGTTCACAGTTGCCCAGACCATCTCATTTTCTTTTCACGGGACTGCTAAAAGTAAAAGGCACAATTCAAGAGTCCTGCTGCTATCACTCTGAAAGCAGAGGATAAAATGTTTCCACGGGGTCCCACACACATAGATGAAGATTAGTCCCAAATGTGAGCTGGTGGACTTAACAAGGCACTAGCCTTTACCTCCGACTGCTTTATGGGAAACTTAGAATAAAACAAGACCCTTACCTTCTAATTTTCCTGTTGCAGCATAGAAAACATTGCCCCATCTTGCTATTCCAAAAACTCTTTCTCTCCTATCTCTCACATCCTGTCAATTTTTGAAATTCTCCTGAGGATATCTCAAGAGAACTCTCAAGTAAGTAGTCATAATCAGTGAGTGGGATCACCCATCATTCCTCTTCTTCTGCTCTGGCTTCTTTGCCCAGGAAACCTCAGGCAGTGCTGCCATTACTGTTTCCTGGTGGCTGCTCAAGGTTACATGGTCCTACTGTGTCATACTGTTCTAAGACCGATACGCTCATGCAGCGAACATTTCTTTCCTGAGCTCATCAATCTTTGACCATCCTCTCAAATACCCCTGTTCTCCACCTCCTAGCTTGATGTTCCCAGTGGAGGGCTGCCTTGTACTCCAAACTCTCCCAGACAGTTTAATGGGATACCCACTCTTGCCATTTCTGCTTGCTCTAGGATATGTGTTGATATCTGCAAAAGCAAGCCAGAAGACCAATGATAAATGTAGACCCAGAATTTCCTCCTGCTCTTCCAGTCATTCACATCTTCCCTCCAGATATATGATAAATATATTTTGGTTCACTCTGAAGCTTTGCAGTAGAAGCCTGGAGAAAATACCTGTATCTGCTTCTCCTTAACTTATAGACATGAACAGTAGTTGCATTTGTTGAACATTGGCCAGTGCTGATACCATTCTGGTTTCTCCCAGAATCTCCAACACCGCTCCTATCATATGTATAAATACATTTTATTAAATGAATCAAAAATACTTTTAACACTGAAATTCAAGCACCCTGAATTCAGAAGGCTGAATAATAAGTCCCCAAATATACCCTTGTCCGAATCTGCAGAACCTGTGAATATGTTACCTTACATTGTTAAAGCAACTTTGCAGATGGGATTAAATTAAGGATCTTGCAATGGAAAGATGATCTTGTATTATCCTGGGTGGCCTGATATAATCACAAAGATTCTTATAAAAAGGATGTAGGAAGAGTCAGAATCAGACAGAAGATAATGTGACAGAGCAGATGGACAGAAAGAAAATGTCAGGGAGAAAGAAATTTTCCTCTGCCCTTCTAAATTCTTCTGGCTGGTCTAATAATTAAATTGATGTGAGATAGATTAAGAGGAGAAAGTCAAACAAAAGTTTAATAGCATGTCTACATGGGAGAGACCCAGGAAAACTGAATTATTTCACCAAAATAGCTAAAGCCCTCACCTTAAATACCATCTTCAGCTAAAGACAAGAGAGGATGTTGGGGGTAATGGTAATGGGACTTCAAAGGGGAGGAAAGCAATTTACCTGGAGATGGAAAAGCAAATGTTTGGCAAACAATATTTGCTGGCCCAGGCAGAGACAATCGGGCACAAAGCAGACTCTGATTTTTAGGCCCTGCCTAAAGAGTTTCCCTCACCACCCCTGGCTCACATTGTTTATAGATATCTCTGGTGATACCTCTATTCTAGGAGCAGGTCCTTTATCTAAATTCTTTTAGGCAGTTAAGAGAGAGGTTACAAGAAAAACTTTTTGAATCTTCTGTTTGTTAAAAATAATCAACAGAGACACATTTGTTGGGGTAGGGACAAAATTTGCTGCCCTAGAAAGAGATCTGAAGAGGTTAGGTTGATGGCTTTGCTACGTTGATGGCTTTGAAGACACAGGAAGATGGCCATGAGCTATGATATACAGATGCCCTCTGGAAGCTAAAAGGATCAAGGCAATGGCTTCTCCATTGACTCCAGAAGAACCTCCTAGGGCGTCCAGAAGGAGACAGCCCTGCGGACACCTTGACCTTAGTCCAGTGGAACTAATTTTGGTCTTCTGACTTCCAGAACTGTGAGAGAATAAGTTCGTATGCTTTTAAATTACTGAATTTGTAATAATTTGTTACAGCAGCAATAGAAAATCCAAGTGCTGGGTACGCAGGAGGGGAATAAAAGTTCAAGAAGTACAAAAGAGAGCTTCCCTGGTGGCGCAGTGGTTGAGAGTCCGCCTGCCGATGCAGGGGACGCGGGTTCGTGCCCCGGTCCGGGAGAATCCCACATGCCGCAGAGCGGCTGGGTCCGTGAACCATGGCCGCTGGGCCTGTGCATCTGGAGCCTGTGCTCCGCAATGGGAGAGGCCACAGCAGTGAGAGGCCCGCGTACCGCAGAAAAAAAAAAAAAAAAAAAAAGAAGTACAAAAGAAACCTAAGCAAAAAATTTTTGTAAAGGGCTTTATTTTCATGATATTTATAAAAATACGTTAATAAATATTTAAACTTCTCTATTCCAAGACAAAGAAAAATACTGCATAATTAACATGAAACAAGGCATTATGCCTAACAAGGAAGACATAAAATGTCCAAGGGATATTTAGAACATTGTCATTTTTAAAGTTTCAGCATCAGAAATGTTGACCACAGATGGTGAAACTATTTCCATAAATAGATCATCAGCAACTGACCATCTTCTCATCAGTGCACAAAGTAAATGTACACATACATTCCCCTACCTTAACAGTGATCTATTTATTTGGATCCCCCACTACTGTCTCCAGCTTTTATCACCATGGATGGTACAGTGTGGTATCCGGCCAAAAATAAACCACAATAGTTTTATGAATGAAAAACACTTAAAACACATCACCTTCAAATAAATAATACTCAGCACTGAATTAACTTTGATTTAATGTAAAAATGACCTTTTAAAATAACAGTACAGAGAACTGCCAAACACATTCATACCTTTTAGATAGAACAGTAATATACAGGCTTTGAAAAATAAATACATAAATAAATACATATGTAAATAAATAGAAGAACTCTCATAAGAAACAGGCAAAAACATTAGACACAGTCCAGGTGGCCCCAGGAGCTATTTGTTTCTCTTCTTTCACTTTGATTCCACTAAGGCTGCAGTAGGAGCCAGTAAGCTCTCTCCAGCTCTCTAGATCAGTTGGCACTGTCCCTGTGATGAGAAAATGGGTAGTTAGTAGGACCCAAAACGTTGACCTCACAGCCCTGCACCAAGTGGTTGCTACCTAAGCCACTGCTGCCCTGTGTGGCAGAAAATGCCAGGCTCTTAGATGCTGTTTAATTAGGAATAAGGAGCCTGTGGTCACAATCTTATTATTATCTTCAAACCACAACATAATGCCACATTGGGCTGAAAAAAGTACATGCATGACATCACTTAAGCCTCATAGCAAACTCCATGAAGTAGCTATTATTATTTTCCCCATGTTATTGAGACTTAAAGAGATTAAGTACTTTCCCCGAGGTTATAGGAATATAAAGGGTGGAATCTAGATTCGCATTGGGGTGGAAGGGGTTGGTCTCACTACAAATTCCCTGCTCTTCACCACTAAGCCTCAGAGGCCCGCATTGTCCAAAACCAAGCGTTCTATCTTCAGGGCTGAAGGCCATGAGAGACTGAGGTAAACAATACCTGTTCCTTAACGGGTAGGAAGCTTTTTCGCATCGTTGGCTAAATCTACTTCATCTTTTAGGAACATACATTTACCCAGACTCATGACAGGTGGATGAGGATGGAAGGCACTAGAAATACCCTTCTGACCTTAACAGCAAATTTAATGGTGAAATTATAATGACTTTCAGTCCTGCAGCTAAACCGTGGGTTTCTCTGATAGAAAAAAAAGGAGGTAGATGACTGACTCTAGTCACACGTGTGAATAAAAACCATAACTCACTTGTTTAGCATCTTGTTGATGATTTTTTTAACCATGGGAGCTTCAGGGTTGAGACAAACTTCCTGACCAGTCTTGAGAGTGGCTCTGCAGAGAGAAGGGAGAATCCACGTGAGGTCGGGCTGGGGGTCGGGGTGGGGTCGTCGGGAAGGCGGGGGTGACAAGCACAGGAACAGCGGCGGCACTTACACGACTTCCGTTTGGCCGCAGTGGGGTCCCGGGGGCGTCACCTTCACGCTCTGGATGTTCTTGAGGTGAATCCCCTGCACGGTCTGCAGGCACTGGCAGCGCAGTTCGGTGACCACAGGCGCCCCTGCGGGGAACACAGACTCGGTCAGGGGGCTGTCCCGGGATGGGCCCCCACCCACCCCCGTCCCGCCCTGGGGATGCCGGGCGCCGGGTCGCACCTGCTGCGTGCCGGCCGGCGGCCACCAGGACCAGGAGCAGTAGCGCGGCGCGGAGGAGCCGGGCGGCGGCGGGGTTCGTGGCGCGGGCCATGGGGTTCAGCTCGGAGGGTCGCTACCTGCGGCGGGAAGGCGGGCTGGAGGGCTGGCGGAGCGGATTCTGTGGCTCCCCGAGCCGGGCGAAGCCCTTTTATCGCGATCGGACAGGGGCTGGCAGCCCAGGGCCAGGGAAATTCCCCGACGCACGTGAAGTTCCCGGGTCCGGAAGGAGGGCGCGGCCCCGCTGGCCTCCCGCGTAATCTCTGCGCCAAAATCCCCGCAGGAGGAGTGAGTCGCCTTGCAGGTGGTGGTGTCGCATCTTAGAGAACAGGCATCATGAGGAAAGGTAGTTAAGACTGAGGGGATTAAGGCGAGGGAGGAGGGAAGCAGAGAGAACTGGTTTTTCTTTGTTTTTTAAAGTTATTTCTGAGATATACATTTTAAAGTCAGAACTGATTTTTCATGTGTTACGCATACGTATCTTGGGGCTTGATGATTTTATTTACGTCTGCATAAATACACTCTGTTAAAACACGTCATCTCAAATTATTCATAAGAATGTTCCCTTATTTCCTGGTATTTACACACAAGTCAATCAAACTTGGTGTCATATCATCCCGCAGTGGTGAGGGGATGACCAGGATCAAAAGTTTAATTCAGTGTTTAAATTAGAACAAAGTGTCACAATGCTACAAAGCTGCTTTCCCCTGTGAAATTTTGGAACTTCCAGAGCTCGAGTAAATCCATGAATACCACCGTTTTTTGTGTAGAGGGTGTTAATTAATCCATGAAATAAGGAGCGGGTGGTCATTTGGAGCTGTTGCAGGGAGGGAAAGCTGCGTGGGGCTCACAGGGACACAGTTTCTAGTTTTATCCAAGAACAAAATAGGTCATAGGAATCAGGAGGGGATGCCTAGTGTGAGTAGCACCCTTTGCTCATCTAAGCACCAAAAAACATGTGTTCCTGTGAAGTATCTAAGAGCTAGATCGTGAATTTAATACCATTTGCTTGTTTTATGATCACAAATCTCATTTCATTTCCATGTTATATGGACTTTTCTGCTTCCAGCGATTTGATTTCCCTCTAGAGAAGTAATTGCTGTCATATTTTATTTTTTTCTAATTTCTAATAAGACATTTCAACCTGTTAACCGGAGACTTTATTATTGTGTAGTTTAGTTTTCACCCTTAGTTTTAATGCCCTTAGTTGGATTATACTCAGGTAAGTTTCATATGTGAGAGGTGTGGGGATACCCAGTGGGAAGCAAGAGCAGGGAGGGGATGCTCCAGGGGTGGGTAGAGGCACAGAGCAGAACTCTGCTCCAGACTGCCTGGTGCATGACATTTAAACTGCCTGGGCCTCAGTTTTCTCATCTGTAAAATGGAGATTAAGGGTAGTATCTACTTCAGCGGGTTGTTATGAATAAATGTGTTAGCATTTGAACACACCGGTACATATTAAATGCTATAAATAATTTTTAAATAAATAAAATAGAAATTGCTTTTTCTGTATTACTAAGCTGAAACTAACCTAGGGATAAAATCTTTGTACAAAGAGAAAAGAATTATTGAAAAAAACAAAACAAAACAAAAACTCCTCCAATATAAAAGGTTGTTTTTTTGTGTTTTTGTTTTTCTTAAGAGAAAACTTAGAATGAATTTTTTTGTGTCATCTAGTTTAATTGCTGGGTAATTTCATAATTCTAGTTTTAGTAATTTCAACTACAAAATGTGAATAAAAGTAAAGATGTCCCACCTTGATTATTAGAAAAGAATAAGAACGACTATATTATAAATAAAGATTTGTCTTTACATTTATTTTTTGTCAGTAATCATATGTACAGTCCTGAGAAAAAGGGTAGGAAATTAAAAAAAAAATTTTTTTAAAGAGTAGGGAATGAAAGGTGATCTAAAGTTTATAAAATATGAGTAACTCAACAATAATTGAGAATTTGTTTAGATATTATTGTTATTTTTTATTTTTCTGGGATTCTAATTGGAATACAGTTGACACTTGAACAACATGGGCTTGAACTGCACAGGTCCACTTAGATGCAGATGTTTTTCAATAAATATATTGGAAACATTTTTGGAGATTTGTGACAATTTGTAAAACAACTTGCAGGCTAACCACGTAGCCTAGAAATGTCAAAAAAGTTAAGAAAAAGTTTGGTATGTCAAGAATGTATAGAATATATGTACATGTTAGTCTGTCCCTACATAGGCATAAGGTGAGTGATATTTAATATAAAGTTAATGTGTTAGTTTTCTTCCTGCTTTATAACTTTGCTTTCATTACATTACCTTCATTGCATTACCATACAGTATGTCTTTCTCTTTCTTAATTGGGGAAACTGTGTATAAGGCTATCATCACAGGTAAATTTTTTTTTTAATTTAACAATATTTCTAATACTGTGTTATGAATATGACTGTGATACTGTAGGCCGTAAGACTGTTATAATGGTTCATTCATTAGTGTATAGGCTAGGCAACTGTGAAGCAATTGTAACAATTACACTAGGCTACCACAAAGCAATCATATTGCTTCTTCATTATTAGTGAATTAATTATTATATCTGAAATAAATATGAATGTCTTTTTTACATTATCTTTCATTTTTGATGAATCATGTTAGTAATACGTATAACATCTATAGTGTTTTGTATTAAATAAGACAATATTGATGGAGGTACTGACAGACGATTCATCTTATAAACATGACTTAAACTTACAGTATCAATAAATACAGTACAATAATGTAAATGTATTTTCTCTTCATTATGATTTTCCTAGTAATATTTTCTTTACTGTATCTTACTTTATTCTAAGATACAGTATATAATACATATACAAGATATGTGTTAATTGACTGTTACACACTTTCTGCACTTTCACTGCCAAGGACGTGGGTTTGATCTCTGCTTGGGGAATTAAGATCCCACAAACAGCAGGGTGTGGCCAAAACAAAACAAAACAAAATTTAAAAATTAAAAAATAAAAAGCAATAGTGTTCTGAAACCTACTAAAATAATCCAGTTCTTTCTTGTTTTAACAAGCACCTTCCCTAACTACTTGTTTTATAAGCTGAATGGCTGATGTATATGCCCAAACTTTCAACTAATACAATCACCAATTTTAAAAATATAGAGCCAACCCTAAAATAAAAACACAGGTTGCTAAATTTTATTTTGAGCTACCGTATTTACCGCATCTTGCACATTTGATTGGCAGTATATAATCTGCCTTTAAAATCCAGAGTTGCTGCTGTATCCCAAGATGACGGAGTACCGTCCTGCTCCCCCACGCTGGCCTTGGGAAGTTGTGCCTACAACTGCTAACCCTATTGTGTCACAATTACTACTTTGAGTAGAATGAGTCTGGCTCCGAGGGGAGAAGAAGGAAGATGTTGCAAGCATTAAATCCCTGGATCCATCCCGTCTTCACTCCAGAGCATTTCATCCAATGTCAATGTCATCCACCTGGTCCAGTCTCTAGTGCATTTGTCCCTTCTGCCTGCCTTGAGCCCCTTCCCACTGCTCCTGGTTACAAAACCTTGGTTTTCCTGTGGGAACCATCTTCTCTTCCTCCCAATCTGGGTAGCTCAGGTAGGGTGACCCTGCTCCAAAGCTCCAGAAGTGAGCTGATGACTGAAAGTAGTATTGGTCAGTCCTTCCAGTTTGGGTCCAGCCCCCAGCCACTCTATAGGTGCAGGGGTGGGTGAGTGACCTAAGCCTGGCCAAGTCAGAAAAATCCCTGGGGGACTTCCCTGGTGACACAGTGGTTAAGAATCTGCCTGCCAGTGCAGGGGACACGGGTTCGAGCCCTGGTCTGGAAAGATCCCACATGCCACAGAGCAACTAAGCCCGTGCGCCACAACTACTGAGCCTGCGCTCTAGAGCCCGCGAGCCACAGCTGCTGAGCCCATGTGCTGCAACTACTGAAGCCCCCACACCTAGAGCCCGTGCTCCGCAACAAAGAGAAGCCAACGCAATGAGAAGCCTGCGCACCACAACGAAGAGTAGCCCCTGCTCGCCGCAACTAGAGAAAGCCCGTGCGCAGCAACGAAAACTCAACACAGCCATAAATAAATAAATAAATTAGAAAAATCCCTGGGGTCCTTTTTGTCAAGAAATTGCTTAAAAAAAAAAAAAAGCCCTTGCTTCCTGTTGGGTTATATCTGGTAGAACAAAAGCTTAAAGCTTTGCCAGAGCTTGAGAACAGGTTGCCTAAAATGAAGCCAGCATAGAGAAAAGCAGCCTGATCTGGAGTGAGACTGTTACTGAAGAGAATTTTTGAACTGCAACACCAAGCTTTATCGCATCTACTCATCAGTCTTTTAGTTTCATAGGTCAAATGCTTCTCCTCTTCATTAAGCTAATTTGAGTTAGGTTTTTGTTACTGACTCCACTTATGCTGGTTATCTTACTTATCTTACACCTAGGAGGGCGTTTCAACTCACATTTAATGTCTTTCTTTCTCCATTTGTCTCAGCATTTTCAATGATAATTTTCTCAGCATTTATAAGGTGGGAATGAAGTTTGGTGCTGGGGATATAAAGAGGAATAGGAGACTCTGCCACCCTCTAACTCTCAATGCAATAAGGGAAATGAATGTACAAATAGAATATTTTTTATTTTTTGTCCCCGCAGCTTAGTTCCCCGGGAGAGGGATTGAATTCGTGCCCCCTGCAGTGGAAGTGCAGAGTCCTAACCACTGGACCGCCAGGGAAGTCCCAACAGATAGAAAATTTTTAGGAAAGCTTGATAAATACCATGGCAAACCATTCCCAAGGTATCAAGAGTGAGGAGGGACACCCAGTGCAACTCTTATATAGAGTGGCTTTATGAGAGACATCAGACAAGTTTTCCTAAAAGAAGTGCTCACTCACATTAGTCTTAAGGATAAGGAGTTTTCCAGGTAAAGGGGGAACACTGAGGGATGGAAAACATTCCAGGACAGGGCCAAATGGGCAAAGGCATGGCTATTAAAAAGAGCATGGGAATACTGGGAGAGCAAGTGGCTCATGCAGATGGAGCTCACTCTGCGAGCAAGGAGAAGGGAGAGACTGAGGCAGGAGCAGGTGGGAGGGCTCAG